CGGGCGGCGGCGGCCGGCCCGAGCCATTCCGTCCACTTGCGCCCCTGGTTGGCTTGGGCTCTGTTTTCCTCTCCGTTAATTTTTTTTTTCTCTTTTCCTTACAATTTTATCCCTTATTATTATTTCTTTCCAACAATTCAGCTGTTTTTACCTCAGCCCGCGAGTTTCTCAGTTTCACCCTTCCAGGTCTCCCCCATCCCATCAGCGAGCGGCCGGGCTCTGCGGCGTTGCCGGCCGGGGTTGAACCACGACGGATAACTCGGCACGACCGGGCAGCGGATGCGCAAGGGAGGGAACGGCGAAGGGCAGGCGGGGGTCGGCACACCGGACCCCCAGCACGGCATCCCGCACGGCTCTCGGACACCGTGCGGCGCCGGCAGCGCGGCCAGCGACGCCGACCCAGCGGAGCTCAGGCGGCGCGGGAGAGCGGAGCCCTCGTGTCCTGGAGGAAGCTGTCGTGGTGGCGGCGGCCTTCAGTGGGGCCCTTGCCCGGCAGCTGGCAGGGGAAGGCCCCGACGCCGGCCGGGCGCTGCCCAGGGGATCCGTGTGTGCCGGGAGCGGAGCCGCTGGGGCTTTGGTGCCCGAGACACGGATTTGCACAGGAGCCGCTTGCTCGCGTGTGCGAGCCCGCGTCGGCCGCCGGCTCTGATCTCCGGGGCTGCCCGTGCTGCCGGGAGAGCGCGGCCATGCCCTGGGTCCATCTCCCGGGGGATGAGGGCACCCACCCCTGGCCCCGTGCCACCGGGGCAGCTCTGACACCCCCGGGCACCCCGAGCGGCATTAAACACCTCGGCGAGGGCAACTGAACGGCGCGGCAGCTCTCTGGCAACGGTGATGGCAGCTCCCCAGCGACGGCGATGGCAGCTCCCCGGTGACCGGCGGCAGCTCCGGTGCCTGCGGTTGCAGCTCCCCGGTGACTGTGGTGGCACCCCGGGCACCCACAGGCACAACCCCATGTGTGGGCGCCTGGGTCACCCGCACCCTCCTTCCCAAAAGCTTTTATAAAGGCGTGGGCGCTGCCTGCTGTAGGAAGCTTACCAGAATACAAGCTTTTGGTTTCATCAAACACGGTGCTCGGCGCTGGTCTCGGCAGCTCCCGGGCAGCGCTTGCCTCCTCGGGACCAGGGCAGCTCGAAGCCGGTCCCTACCGCACGCCCTGAGGGCGACGCTTTTTGGCCGCCCAGCGCTCGCCCTCTGTCTGCACCGACTCCCGAGACGGTCCCCGGTCACCGGCAGCCGGGCCGGCGAGCTTTTGGTTTCATCAAACACGGTGCTCGGCGCTGGTCTCGGCAGCTCCCGGGCAGCGCTTGCCTCCTCGGGACCAGGGCAGCTCGAAGCCGGTCCCTACCGCACGCCCTGAGGGCGACGCTTTTTGGCCGCCCAGCGCTCGCCCTCTGTCTGCCCCGACTCCCGAGACGGTCCCCGGTCACCGGCGGCCGGGCCGGCGGGTGCTGGGTGCCGGGGCGAGGCGGAGGTGGCAGGAACCCCCCGGCAAGGAGGGACAAGGGGTCCCGCAGCTCCCACGGCGAGCAGAAAAAACGAGCAGCAAATTGCGCCAGGCAAACGGGCTCTCTTACACCAGTTTTCACTTTTTATTAGTTTCTAGATTAGAAAAGAAAAGAGTGGGGCTATAAATAGAGGGGGTCCTCGCCCGCCGCATCTCACGGGCTCGCTGGGGGGTTTCTCACGCGCCAGCTAAGCCCCCCCAGTCCCCAGCGGCGGTGACGGCCCCCGGCCCAGCACTCGCCGTCCCCTGGGGCTCTGCGCGGTCAGGAAGGGGTTAACCCTCCCACCGCCCGGGGAGGTGGCGACAGCAAGTGGTGAATACCCATTTTACAGATGGGGAAACTGAGGCAAGGAAGCGCTGAGCGTCGCCTCGAGCCGCAGGGCAAGGCGGCGAGGCTGCTGGGCAGCCCCCGGAGCCTCTCGCTGCCACGGCCCCTCCAAAATTCCCCCTCGCAGAACCCCTGGCCGCCGGCCACGGGAAGAGGTTTGCCGGGAACAACCCGCGCCCCCCGGCCCCGCAGCCCCTTCGCCCACGCTATAAAAGCCCCATCTTTCCTCAGAGCCCCTTCCCCAGGCGCGGATGTGTTTGCTGCCCCGCACCAGGATCGCGGGGCCAGGGAAGGTCCCTTCCAACCAGCCCGTGCCGGAGATGCCGACAGGGGAGCTGATGGGCACCGTAATTCCCAGGAGAATGAAACAGAGCTTTGGGAGCTGCGCTGGGGCCGGGGCTGCCAAAAAGAAAAGGTTTTTGCCGGCCGTTTCACAGCGTTGGCGGGCGCAGGGCGAGGGGCGGCCGGGAGCGGTGCCAGCCCCGGGGGATGCACCGGCCGGAGCCAGAAACCCAGGCACGCAGCAGGCGCCGGGGAAGGAAGGATCCCAAACCCACGGCTCGGGAAACGGCGATGGGAGTTGTGGGAAACGACTGGGGGTGCTGAGCCGTCCCGGAGCCAGGGTCAGCCGTCCCGCAGGGAGCGCGCCGCGGCAAAGGGCTGTGCCCGGGGAGGGGTGAGGTGATCCCGTCCTCGCATCCACCCCTTGCAATTCACTTCTAAAACGTTTCCAAACAGCAAGCGAGACGGCGGCTCTCGGGCGGGGGACGACGAAGCCCCCCACAACCCGGGGACGCAAACAGTGCCGGCGCGATGCCAGAGCACCGGTCTGCTCGCTCCAGGTCCCAGCCCGACCGCATGTCGTGGCCACTGGCCCCAGCCGGAGCGGGGGCGCTCCTCCCGACACCCCGCAAACCGCCCCAGCCGGGACCTCCACCACGCCCCCCCCCAGCCGGGGACCCCCCCGGCCCCGATCCGCCGCCGCAGGTCTAAGTCTCCAGCGCTGGCATCGCTCCTCCTGTCGCCGCTCCCGCCACGGGGACGTGCCACGGGCAGGGCACTGGGCTCTCCCCGCCGCTGCCAGCCCTCTACTTGTACTTGGACAAGGCTTCCAGCGGCACCGGGAGCTGGGCGCAGGAGAGGAGAAGCGGGTGCACGGGGAGGAAGGGGTTGAAGGACTCTCCCTCCCGGTAGCAGGAGAGGATCCTCTCCTCCGTGTGCACACCCTGGTGCACCGTCAGCTCCTTCTTGTGGCTGAAGATCTTGCCGCACTCGGTGCAGGGGTAGACCCGCTCCACCGTGTGGGTGAGGTGGTGGGTCCGGAGGTTGCCCTTGTACTTGAAGCTCTTCCCGCACTCCAGGCAGGTGAAGGGCCGCTCGCCCGTGTGGATGCGCTTGTGCTTCATCAGCGTGGTCTTCAGGTTGAAGGTCTTGCCGCACTCGGGGCAGACGAAGGGGCGCTCGCCGGTGTGGATGCGCTGGTGGGTGATGAGGGTGCCCTTGCGGTTGAAGCTCTTGCCGCACTCGGTGCAGGCGAAGGGCTTCTCGCCGGTGTGGATGCGCTGGTGGGTGATGAGGGTGCCCTTGCGGTTGAAGCTCTTGCCGCACTCGGTGCAGGCGAAGGGCTTCTCGCCGGTGTGGATGCGCTGGTGCCGCGTCAGGTCGCCGTTGCGGCTGAAGCTCTTGCCGCACTCGGAGCAGCCGAAGGGCCGGTCGCCGATGTGGATCTTTTGATGGAGGATGAAGGTCTTCTTGGCGCAGAAGCCCTTGCCGCACTCGGCGCAGATGAAGGGGCGCTCGCCGCGGTGGATCTTCTGGTGGGTGATGAAGTTGGCCTTGCGGTTGAAGCTCTTGCCGCACTCAGTGCAGGTGAAGGGCTTCTCGCCGGTGTGGATGCGCTGGTGCAGGACGAAGGTCTGCTTGGAGCAGAAGCTCTTGCCGCAGACGGTGCACTCAAACGGCTTCTCGCCGGTGTGGATGCGCTGGTGCCGCATCAGGTCGCCCTTCTGGCTGAAGCTCTTGCCGCAGACGGTGCAGGCGAAGGGCTTCTCCCCCGTGTGCACCCGCAGGTGGGTGATGAGGTTCCCCCGGTGCTGGAAGCTCTTCCCACACTCGCTGCAGGCGAAGGGACGCTCGGCTGCGTGGCTGCGGGGACGCCGCGCCGGCTCAGCGCCGGGAGCCGTGGCGCTGCCCACCCTGCAGGCAGAGGGGGGTTTCTGCCCAGCATCGCTCGCCGGCGCCAGCGGAGCTGTGCCCTTCTCCAGGCCGAGCCCCTGCAGCTCGGGGGTGGCCCGCAGCCCCTCGGGCGCCGCCGGGCT